TGTACACTGTGAACTGTCCTCCAACACCAATGCTGGACCTGGCTGACGCCCTGGAGTCTGAACGAGATCAGATCCCTGCAGCAGGTTCATGGTGGAAGGACTGAAGCCAGAAGAGCGGAAGCTGTTTGGTTCTGACTGTCCAAATACTTTTGGCCACATGAACTTTTTCAGATGTGGAAAATGTCACATTATTGCTTCATGTGAAAATGACGGTTTGTTATTCAGATTCGGGTTCAGACTGGACTGATGTCGGTGAAGGTTCTCATTGTTTTATGTATCTGATCAGTTTGTGTCTCTGTGTTGGTTTGGTGTATATTTGCAGTTGTTCTTTGTCTCTGTGTGGTGCTTTTATATCTTTCTGTGATCGTTTTGTGTCTCTTTGCAGTGGTTTTGTAAATCAGCGGTGTTCATGATAACATTTTGACCTGAGATTCGGACTCGGACTGAGCTCCATGTATCGGCTCGGTTCATTAAACGCCCACAGTGTGTCTCGTACTTTCCATTCAGGCAGTAGGTTCTTTTCTAAATGTTTTCAGGGCTGTTGTGGATGAATCTGAATGCTGGCCGTTGCTCTAAATGGCAAACAGCAGATGCAGCACAGTGAGTGTATTTATGTGGCAGACAGTGATTCACAGACTGCATAATGAACGGCAGCTTCCATTAAACTCCACACTCTTCAAATGTCACTGATGCCACTCAGCAAACACACAACAGCAAAGTTAGCGGGGATCTGGAAAGACAAGATTATACCAAAACATGTCTGAATCCAACATGTCAGTGCTTTGAGTGGCTGTTTGTTAGAAAGCAGCTGTCAGCACACATTTGCCTGGAGGTATTTCTCTGCTTTTGAGGAAAACGTACAGGAAAGAAGGCTGAACGCTCCTTCAGAGAGTGGTGGCGGAAGCACACAGTGATTATATGTTAGCAGAGGAGAGTGCGGGAGTGATGCTGCTGTTACCGTGGTGAGGTTGCTGATGATGCACTTGAGGGTCTGAAGATTATCCAACACCATCTCTCCAGCAAGCAGTGAGAAATCCTTCAGGCAGCTCCACTCCACTGCGCACACAAACACAAAGGTTAGAGTACCCACATCCACAGTTAACACTTATCTTTTCATTACAAATCAATAGTTCCTTCTGAGATCAGGAAATGAACCTCGCGCCGCACCCTTGAGGTGTCTTTAATTGTCTGTTCCTGTCTATTTCTATCTCGTTCTCTCCGTTCAGTGTACAAAGCAATACATCTGATGCATTCTTGTGTCTTACTGTCACAACATGAAGTGTATATAAGGAGGTTTTATCAGCCTATGGAACTCACATGACCCTGAAAGTTAACTTGCTTCACGTTGGGTGGGAACAATAAGACAGCCCCAGTCTCTCAGGGAGTTCCCCAGGGTTCAGTGCTTGGTCCCCTTCTCTTCATCCGCTACCACACAATTTCTACTATTATGCATTATTATGCAGACGACACCCAGCTATACATCTCCACCAAATCCATTGTTGCTGCCACTCACGTCACTGTGACAAACTAACATCCTCAAACTTAACTGACAAATCTGAAATCAAATCTATGACATCAAATCTTATCTTCAAGATAAACGCAGCAGCAGCCACTTTAAGAGTTGCTGGTCTTAAACACGAGCTGCCATGTGTGTGTATTCGTACCTCTGTATTTGGTCACCACGGTGGAGTTGAGACACTGCGGCTCCTGGAAGGTGACGGTCAGCGTTGTGCTACTGCTCACGCTCAGACGAACCATAGACGGGGCCTCCGGGGCACCTGAGCAGGGGCACAGAGAGGCGTCAACAAGCACAACAGACAAACTGAAAGAAAAATACACGAATGAATATATATAACTGAAGTAGAAATTGCATTTCTTTGGGACCAGAGTGTATACTGATTATTGAAGATTTGATTGATTGATTGAGCCCCTGATCTTTCATCAGATTTTTTATTTTTCATCTCTTCAGCTACAGCGAGACCTCTGTAGGCACATTTTTCTGTTTTTCTTCTCTTCTTTATTCCAAATTAAACTCTATAATGCATCTGAAAATGTCAAACACATTACTTCCTGGGCAGTCAGAGAGTGGTTATCAGCTGGATCACTGCTGGTTTTTATCATTTGGTGATGCAGCAGCAAATCTCAGGTTATTACTTTAAATGACTTCAGCTTCAAATAAGAAACCTTTCAGTGTCTTTCTGCCTGAAGGAGCCTCTGAATGGAAAAAGAAGTCTTCCTCTCACCCGTGAACAGATTATGAGACAACAGGCCGCTGGAAACAGACATGTAAAAGACCCTCCCACCCCTTCTATATAGGAGCAAGACGCCCAGACCGGATGAGACTCTTTACAGCCATTTTGCATCTTTGTAGCTATTTTTGCATCTTTGTAGCTATTTTTG